AGTAAACTTCAAGTTGTTGTTAACTTCTGGTCTTGAGTCTTCTACTTGCTTTTAGTAAAAAGTTGGTACAAGTAATCATCAATTAGAGTTGTTTTGTATATTTTTTTTATTCTTAACTCTAAACTAAATATTATTCTAATATAAATAAACTTTAAGAAATTTTGGAAGATGTATATCCCACAGGAGATGCCTATAATTTCTTTTTAAATATTGCCAAGTTAAATTTGATAGCAAATATTGCTATAAAGTTTAACATATATTTAATTATTAGTATTATTTTTCTTTATTTATATTTAATTTTTAATTTTTATTATTTTAAATAAAACAATACTTGATTAAATTCTAAATCAGCTCTACATTTTTTCTTTTCTTTTACTATATAATATTAATTTTTACTAGAGCTTTCTTTTTTGAAATCAACAATTTTCTCTTCTTATAATATATAGTGTCTATTTTTACTAGAGTTTTTTTCTTAAATTAATAATTTGTATTATATAATATTGATTTTTACTAAAGCTTTTTCATTTAAATTAATAGTTTCAATAATCTCTAGTGCTTTATTATATAATTATTTTTGAAATTTGGTTTGATTTCAAAATTATATATACTTCTAAATTTTTTGTGACTTACTATTATCTTGCTATTTCACAATACTATATTATTTTCTTTTTTATATTATTATTAATCTCTTGTACTTCTTCTATATTACTATTAATTTCTTGTACTTCTTCTACATTACTGTTAATTTCTTGTATTGCTTCTATATCACTATTAATCTTTTATATTTCTATATTGCTATTAATCTCTTATATCTCTTCTATATTGCTATTAATTTCTTGTACTTCATCTATATTACTATTTATTTCTTGTATTTCTTTTAAATTGTTGTTAATCTCTTGTGCTTCTTCTACATTACTATTAATCTCTTGCATTTCTTCTATATCATTATTAATCTCTTGTACTTCTTCTATATTACTATTTTTTTTTTTTTTGGTTTAAGGTGAGGCCTTACTC